CAAAGTCATTTAACAAAATTTAGAATTCTAGTGGATAGTCAACATGGTTTCACTAAGGGAAAATCTAGCCTTATAAATATTTTGACATTGTTTGAAAAGGTTACTGCTTATGCAGATGAGAGTAAGGGTGTATCTGAATTTTCAGAAAGCATTTGACAAGGTGCCACATACAAGGATTGTAAAAAAATTATCTCTATAGGTGTGGGGGATAAGTTAGCAAATTGGACAGATGAGTGGCTGGATGAAAGAAAGCAGAGGGTTGTTACAAATGGAGTTCAGTCAATATGGAATAATGTCACAAGTGGTATCCCTCAGGTCTCAGTTTTAGGACCTTTTGCTCCTTTTGATTTACATCAATGATATAGATGGAGGAATAGTCAATAAATTACTTGAATTTGCAGATGATAGTAAAGTCTTGGGTGTTGCTAGCTGTGAAGAGGATTCTGCTATTTACAAAAGGATTTAGATCATTTAGTGGGTTGGGCAAATAAATGGCAAGTGGGTTTTAATTATAATAAATACAAGATATTGAATTATAAGTACAATTTGGAGGGGAAGGACCTTAACAGTGCAAGGGATCTTGGTGTAATAGTCGACCAATCTCTAAAGCCATCCAAGTAGTGTGTTGTCGCCAGTGGTAGGGCAAATGGAATTTCAGGTTGTATCTACAGAAATATTGAATACAAATCTAAAGAGGTTATAATTTCATTGTACAGTCACTTGGTTAGGCCACATTTGAAATATCGAATACTTTCTTGGGCTCTTTACCTTAAGAAAGATATTGAATTGTTGGAAATGGTTCAAATAAGGGTTACTAGAAAGGTACTTGGGATGGATGGGGGGTCATACGAGGAGAGGCTTCAATCTCTCAAATTATTTTATCTTGAAAAAAGAAGAGTTAGAGAGGATCTGAGTGAGGTGTTTAAGATTGTACAGGGAATTAATAGTATTGATGCATCATCTTTTTTTTCATATTTAACAATGTGAATAGTAGGACTTGGGGACACAAATATAAATTTTGGCAAGGTAGGAGTCATCTTAAGCTAAAACACTTTCATTTTTCTAACAGAGTGGTTCGCCTTTGGAATGGATTGTCTTCAGATGTTGTAGTGGTATCACATTCATAAAAATATATTCAATTTACATTATGGCTAATTCAACATAATATTACATATCTATCGAAATATGGAATGGGG